AGGCTGTGAAAGGGCTGCACTCAATATGCCAGCAAATTTGGAAAACTCAGCAGTGGCCACAGGATTGGAAAAGGTCAGTTTTCATTCCAATCCCAAAAAAGGGCAATGCCGAAGAATGTTCAAACTATTACACAACTGGCATTTATCTCACATGCTAGCAAAGTAATGCTCAAAATCCTTCAAGCTAGGCTTCAACAGTATGTGAACTGTCAACTTTCAGATGTACAAGATGGATTTAGAAAAGGCAGAGGAACCAGAGATCAAATTGCCAACATCCAATGGATCATAGAAAAAGCTACAGAATTCCAGAAAAACATCTACTTCTGCTTCACTGACTACACTAAAGCCTTTGACTGAGTAGATCACCACAAACTGTGGAAAATTATTCAAGGGATAGGAATACTAGACCACCTGACCTGTCCCCTGCGAAACCTGTATGCAGGTCAAGAAGTAATAGAACCAGATATGGAACAACAGACTGGATCCAAACTGGGAAAGGAGTACGTCAAGGCTGTATATTGTCACCCAGCTTATTTAACTCATATGCAGAGAACATCATGTGAAATGTTGGGCTGGGTGAAGCACACGCTGGAATCAAGATTGCTGGGAGAAATATCAATAACCACAGATATGCAGATGAAAGCACCCTTATAGCAGAGAGTGAAGAGGGACTAAAGAGCCTTTTGATGAAGGTGAAGGAGGAGAGTGAAAAAGCTGGTGTAAAACTCAACATTCAGAAAACTAAGATCATGGCATCTGGTCCCATCACTTCATGGCAAATATATGGGGAAAAAATGGAAATAGTAACAGACTTTATTTTCTTGGGCTCCAAAATCACTGCAAATGGTGACTACAGCCATGAAATTAAAAGATGCTTGCTCCTTGGAAGAAAAGTTATGACCAACCTAGATAGCATATTAAAAAGCAGAGACATTACTCTGCCAACAAAGGTCCGTAGAGTCAAAGCTATGTTTTTTCCAGTAATCATGTACAGATATGAGAGCTGGACAATAAAAAAGGCTGATAGCCAAAGAACTGATGCTTTTGAACTGTGGTGTTGGAAAAGATTCTTGACAGTCTCTTGGACAGCAATGAGATCAAACCAGTCAGTCCTAAAGGAAATCAAGCCTGAATGTTCACTGGAAGGACTGATGCTGAAGCTGAAGCTCCAATACTTTGGCCGCCTGAAATAAAAAAAGATGCTTTATTTTTATTTATTTAAGAGCTGACTCATTGGAGAAAAGGCTTATGCTGGGACAGACTGAAGGCAGGAGAAGGGGATGACAGAGGATGAGATGGTTGGATGGCATCACCGACTCAATGGACATGAGTTTGAGCAAACGCCGGGAGAGGGCAAAGGACAGGGAAGCCTGTCATGCTGCAGTCCATGGGGTCACAAACAGTCAGACATGACTGAGTGACTGAACAACAAGAGGGGAAAGCAAATCATATTGTGTGATGATAATAATAATAAAAGATGTAGATAAAATCCAGAATCTGTCAGGAAATCTCCCTTTTGTTTTGGCATTAGAAAGCCTTGTTATATCAAGCAAGATGAAAGAGTCAAAAAGAAATGCATCTTCATTTCTGGTGTGCTAGTATTAGAAGTGGGCCTCCCTGTTGGCTCAGTGGTAAAGAATCTGCCTGCAATGCAGGAGACATGGGTTCAATCCCTGGGTTGGGAAGATCTACTGCAGAAGGAAACAGCAACCCACTCCAGTATTCTTGCCTGGGAAATCCCATTGACAGAGAAGCCTGGCAGGCTACAGTCCATGGGGTTGCAAAAAAGTTGGACACAGCTTAGCAACTAAACAACAACAACAGCAGCATTAGAAATAAAGGAGCTGATTAGGAATAAGCCTCCAATGACAAAATAGCAGCTCTGTGCAAGGTGAGCCAGTAAGGAGTAGACCCTAGCTTACAACAGAAGTAAAGGGAACATACTGTAGGAGAGAGCCTGATGATTGCTGGCACTGCTACAGCGTACAGTCTACTTATTCGTAATGACAGTTTGAAACAAATTTGGCTATTTCTATTTGGTTTTCCCTTGAACATACCACTAAAGTTGATCAGCAGCAGTTGAGCCATATTCTAAGAGGAGATATTTATCCATTACCTCCATCATAATGGAAGATGGAAAATTACAGGTAGTGGAATAGAGACCAACAGTTAAGCTACTACTTCTTTATCTATTAACCTCTTAATAGACAGACTCCACCTTTAAAAGCCTGTGTTTTGAAAGTTTAATCTGATCACTCATCAAAAAAAAAAAAAAAATCTGATCACTCATGAGTATTGAAAGCATCTGCCTGCAATGCGGGAGACCGGGGTTCGATCCCTGGGTCACGAAGATCCCCTGGAGAAGGAAATGGCAACCCACTCCAGTATTTTTGCTTGGAGAATCCCATGGACGGAGGAGCCTGGTGGGCTAAGTCCACAGGGTCGGGGTCGCAAAGAGTCGGACACGACTGAGTGACTTAACTTTCACTTTAACGTATTCCCACAGCTAAACACAGAGGTTGTTTTGAGTGATAAAGAACAGATAATAGTAGAGCAGCTCTGGTGGAAGATGTGCCCATATCCCAACCCCATGCCATGCATTCCCTAAGGAACTACCAGGAACTTATGAGTTCAAGAACACATACCAACGGGAAACTTTTAATTTCTTCAGTGACTACAGGACTTTGAATTAAGAATCAACAAACATGTAACTTATATTTAGCATAGCACTTATTTGCCAAGGAGCCCCTGAAAGAGATTTAATTTATCTGATCTTTTTCTTCTCATCTGTAATCTGTGAATACACCAGCTCCCTCAAAGACTGAATCTAAAAATTAAAGAGCATAGTAACTGTGGAAGTAACATGGAAAATATATGATGTTATTGTAAGGTATTATCACTGCTAAGGACACAATCTATTTGGAAAGAGGAACAAAGGTGTATGCAATTGGTATCAGATAGTAAAAACACTGTCACTAAACCTATAAGCAACTAAGACTTCTTCTAGGAAATAAGACAAAGTGTTTTCTGTAAATTACTTTCCCCTGCTGTCAAATAAGGTCCAATAATCATACACCTCTTTTGATGTTTATCTGACTAAACAGAATCACATGGTTACCTCTCCATTTAAATTTTTAGTGACTTCACCTCTAATGAGAGTAGATAGTTTTTTAAAAAGATATCTTATCTAAAACATCTGAAACACAATCCCTGGACATGTTTCCAAAATTACACTAGAATGATGATTATCCCTAGAACTGACACAGTTACAGAAATTCTGGCCTCTGCAAGCATTATTTCTCTTCCAATATTCAGCAGATATTTTAAATTCACCATAAAGGAAGAGATCTTATTGGCAGGGCACATATTTTTCAGGCTGTTTTTCAACAGTGATGATAAAATTTCACTGACTGACTCAACTACACATTCTTTTTACCCACAGGCTAATAAACTATTTGCTTGGCATATAAAATCTTCCATAATCAAGAACTACCTAGTGGTTGCCAGATCAAAACAGTAGGTGAGAGAACTAAAACGTAACTCTAGAAACCCTGGTATGAAAGAAAAGAGGTTTAGGTTCTTCTGCGTATGTTTCATTTCTATTAAATAAATGAAACATGAAAAGAGATAAAAACACATAACATATTCTTAAAAATAATGTTTTAACTTTCCATTTTTCAAGAGTGAGAAATTACAAATGAGAGGCATTTGGGGATTGATTTTAGTTAGTAAGGAATCAGACAGCTGTAACCTACAAGGCTAAAGATTATAGACTAGTGTGAAAAACAGTGAGAGTTTATCAATACTTTTCACACATCCACTGTTATGGAATCATCACTACCACCATTCCACATCCAAGCCTCTAGCCAAGACTGACTGAGTTGAGGAAGCATCAGCAGTGAGAATGATGAAAGCTGGGAGTTCTCCCTCAGAACTCCCAGGAAGTTTTCCTACCGAGAAAGCCCTCCCCACTACTGTACACTCTAGACTCTCACAGTGATCATCTGTGACCAAAAAATATTCCATTTCATCTTGTAAGGAAGTAGTTCATCTCTTAATAACTGTCTCAGCAGTTGATATAAACTGCCCCAATTTTGTAGATTCACCAATGCACTATCATAGGTCACTGAAATCCACACCTATGCAAATTATTCTTTAATAAAGAAACTACCTATTACAGACTAAAAATCTATGTTCCCCCATACACCTAAATTCACATATTGGAGCCCTAACCCCCGTGTACCTATATGGAGATAGGGCTTCTAAGGAAATGTGTGTGTGTGTGTTAGTGGCTCAGTTGCGTCCAATTCTTCGCAATACCAAGGACCATGGCCCACCAGGCTCCTCTGTCCATGGGATTTCACAGGCAAGAATACCGGAGTGGGTAGCCACTCCCTTCTCCAGGGAATCTTCCAGACCCAGGGATCCAACCCGGTCTCCCGCATTGCAGGCAGACTCTTTACCATCTGAGCCACCAGGGAAGCTCTCTAGGGAAATAATTAAGGTTAAATGAGGTAATAAGGGTAGGGCCCTAGCCGATCTGATAGGATTAGTGTCCTTATAACACCAGAGAGTGAGCTCTCTCCCTCCACCTTCCTTTCCCCTCTGTGGTCCCCCAGCTCCATGCACTAAAAAAAGGGTCACTGGAGCATACAGCAGAAAGTGCCCATCCACATTCAAAGGACCTAAGGTAAGAGCTCCCATCAGGCACCAGCCTTGCTGGTTGGTGCCTTATAGAACTGTGAGAAAACAAATTTCTGTTGCTTAAAGCAACCAGTTTGTGGTATTTTGTTATGGAAGTCTGAGAAGAGTAACACATTATCTCTATCACTAAACACTCTCAACTTCCTCTCATTTTCAGAAAGTGTACTTGTGGAATTCCATCACATGAGAAACATTTCATTGAACAGACAGAGTAATCAGATTCATGAAAAGCGCTCGGTATGAAGTATTATTTGCAATCATTTGCAGTCAAGCTTCCTTGTAAAAATTATGCTTACCTTTGAAGAGTAATGTACTCCTGGGAGCTTTCAGCCCAACAGCCACTCAGCATTGCAGCAAAATAACTAGATCTGGCACTTAAAATGGCTCTAAAGGAAGAGGGGGAGAAAACACAGACAAACATTTATGCATAATTGCAAAATATAATTTTTTATGAAATTTTTCATCTTTACCTCTTAAAACATGATAACAATTTATCTGTCATTTGTATTCACTGGTAGAATTTAATAATAGAAATTATAAACCTAAACTTATACCAAAGTATTTTGATTGCTTCATTAGAACATTAATTCCAGTGTTTTTTTTCATCTTTTAAATTTTTTCTTTTCTTTTTTTTTTTTTAGGCTGCACCATGTGGCTTGCAGAAGCTCAGTTCCCTGACCAGGGACTGAAACTGGGCCATAGCAGTGAAAGCCCAGAATCCTAACCACTAGGCAACCAGGGAAATTCCATTTAATTTTTTCTCTTGAAAGCTCTTAAATTTTAATAACAATTTTCATCAGTGAGAGAATAACAGATCACTTACAAAGGGAGAAATAAAAACCAAATGATGTTAAGACCTTGCGGAAATACCAATAAGAGACTAGAACTCTAAAAGTCCTGAGTACCAGTTTAAAACTCAGCATAATTATGCTCATGGATACCTTTCTCTTAAATTTGAAAAATTATAGGAAAAATATTTTGTTTTGAATGCCCATTCTATCTCCTCAGATAGAATGTTAATTCATCCATTATTTAACTCAACAAATACCTACTGACTTCTATTCTGTGCTAGGGACTATAACAGTAAATTAGATACAGCAAAAATGTGAATATTCTAGCAGGGGCTGGGATGGAAAAGGGGAAGGGGAGAAGAAGAATAAAAAGACACTTCTGGCAATGGCTTATTAGGTTGTCTCAGACTAACCCTCCTACTGAATAGCTTGGAAAGATAAGGGGGGAAAAATATATGCACACACACACACGCATATATCTGAAAGCAAAAGTAAGGTTGAGAAGCTAAGAAGCTGAATCTAGATTGCTTCTGGCAATCTTTACAGGCTTGGAGGCACAAAATTGGAATTTGGGATCCAGCAAAGAGGAGAGACATCACTTTGATGACAAAGGTTCATACAGTCAAAGCTATGATTTTCTCACATCACTACAGATGTGAGAGCTGGACCATAAAGAAGGCCGAGCGCTGAAGAACTGATGCCTTTGAACTGTGGTGTTGGAGAAGACACTTGAGAGTCCCTTGGGCTGCAAGATCAAACCAGTCAATCCTAAAGGAAATCAATCCTGACTGTTCATTGGAAGGACTGATGCTGAAGCTGAAGCTCTAATACTCTGGCAGCCTGATGTGAAGAGCTGACTCACTGGCAGACTCTGATGCTGGGAAAGACTGAGAGCAGGAGAAGAAGCGGGCAACAGAGGATGAGATGGTTTGATGGCATCACCAACACAATGGACATGAGTCTGAGCAAACTCTGGGAGATAGTGCAGGACAGAGGAGACTGGCATGCTGCAGTCCATGGGGTCACAAAGAGTCAGACAGGACCTCGTGACTGAACAACAGCAACAAAAAAGAGGAGACTTTGGTGGATGTCCCAGAATTTCAGTTGGACTCTAAAGGACTACATCTTTGAAAGAAGAATGAACAGGAAATAGATAAGCCTTTTTTAGAACCGAAGTCCAGCTCTGAATGAGCTCAATCCCTGACTGGATTGAAGTGATCTATATCTAGCCTAAATATAGTGTGTCCTTAGCTGCTCAGTCGTGTCTGACTCTTTGTGACCCCAGGGACTGTAGCCCACCAGGCTCCTCTGTCCATGGAATTTTCCAGGCAAGAATACTAGAGCAGGTTGCCATTTCCTCCTCCAGGGGATCTTCTGACCCAGGGGTTGAATCCGTGTCTCTTACGTCTCCTGCATTTGCAGGTGGGTTCTGTACTACTAGCCACCTGGGAAGCTCACAGTGTAGTATTACTCAGCAAGAAAAACTGAATGAAATATGATATACATTATATCTAAGGATGAGGTTCAAAAACATTATCCTGAGCAAAAGAAGTTCAATAATATGTCTGAGATCATTTATGTGAAATTCTAGGACAGGTAAAATAAACTATAATTTAGAAAACACAACAATCAGAAAACAAAAGAAGTCCAATTAAAAATGGGCAAACAATATGAAGAGAAAACTCACCAAAGAAATACAGATGGAAAATAAGCATATGAAACTCAGTTTTGCCTGAGGATAGAGAGAGAGAGAGCTTCCCTGCTGGCTGAGTGGTAAAGAATCCGCCTACCAATGCAGGAGACATGGGTTCAATCCCTGGGTTGGGAAGATCCCCTGGAGAAGGAAATGGCAGCCCACTCCAGTACTCTTGCCTGGAGGATCCCATGGACAAAGGAGCCTGGTGGGCAGTGAGGTCCCGAAAGAGTGAGACACAACTTAGCAACTAAATAACAACAACAGAGAGAAGGATGGTACTAGTGGCAAATAGGACACAGGAGAGTTTTTCAGGTAATAAAAATTCTCTATATCTTGATTGTGGTGGGAGTTACACAGGTTTATATATTTGTCAAAACATCAAATTAGACACTCAGTTGTGTGCATTTGATTGTATATGAATTCTTTTTTGAGTTCATTTTTTTAAAATAGAGGATAATTACTTTACAACATTGTGATGTTGTTTAGTCGCTCAGTTGTCTGATTCTTTGCAATCCCACGGACTGTAGCATGCCAGGCCTCTCTGTCCCTCACCATCTCCCAAAGTTTGCCCAAGTTTGTGTCCATTGCTCGGTGATGCCATCCAGCCATCTCATCCTCTGACATTCTTGTCTCCTTCTGCCCTCAATCTTTCCCAGCAACAGGACTTTTCCAATGAGTCAGCTATTCGCATCAGACAACCAAAAAACTGGAGTTTCGGCTTCAGCATCAGTCCTTCCAAGGAGTATTCGGGGTTGATCTCTCTTGAGATTGACTGGTTTGATCTCCTTGCTGTCTAAGGGACTTTCAGGAGTCTTCTCCAGCACCACAGTTTTTGAAGGCATCAATTCTTCACTGCTCCAGCTTCTTTACGGTCCAGCTCTCACAACCATACATGACCACTGGGAAGACCATAGACTTGACTATACAGACTTTTGTTGGCACAATAATGTCTCTGCTTTACAACACACTGTCTAGGTTTGTCATAGCTTTCCTGCCAAGGAGCAAATGTCTTTTGATTTCATGGCTGCAGTCACCATCTGCAGTAATTTTAGAGCCTAAAAAGAAGAAATCTGTTACTATTGCTTCCTTCTCCTCCTCTATTTGTCATGAAGCAATGAGGCCAGATGCCATGATTTTAGTTTTTTTTAATATTTAGTTTTAAGCCGACTCTTTGACTCTCCTCCTTCAACCTCATCAAGAGGCTTTTTAGTTCTTCGCTTTCTGCCATTAGAGTGGTATCATCCACATATCTGAGGTTGTTGATGTTTCTCCCACCCATCTTGATTCCAGGTTGTAGTTCACCCAGCCCAGCATTTCTCATGATGAGCTCAGCATACAGATTAAACAAACAGGGTGACAGCAGACAGCCCTGTCGTACTGCTTTCTCAATCTTGAACCAATCAGTGTTCCACACAAAGTTGAATATTGTGATGGTTTCTGCCATATATCAGCATGGAGCGATACTAGGTATACAAATGTCACCTTCCTCTTCAGCCTCCCTCCCCTTCCAACTCCTCTAGGTTGTCACAGAGTATAAAGATTGAAGGCAGGAGGAGAAGGGGGCAACAGAGATGAGATGGAGACATCAACATTCTTCTCAGTAATTAACAGGACAAGTACACAAAAAAGTCAGTGAAGAATATGGAAGACTTGAACTAAATGCTGCATGCTAGCCATTTCCATTTAAGTAAGACTAAGAGTGACTGAGGTTTAAACAATTACACTGTTCTTAAGAGAGAAACTTATGAAAACATTCCTATTTAATTGGATTCAAGCCTCAGTTTAAAAAAAAAAATATGTTGTAGATAGGTGTGTTAAAATCTTTAACAGATTTTTTATTTTCCAACACACCAAAAACTATTTTTTCCTTTTGACTAAATGTAATCTCAACTGACAAGGCTGCTTCTGGCTCTGTAGAGGTGCCCTAATTTCCCACTTACTCTTGCTTTATAGTGCATTGCTATTCAATACTTCTTGATGTTAGCTCAACCAGACTCACTACTCCAGGCATAATAATGGCCTGGATTACTCAGAGAAACTCTAAATAAAGAATTTTTCACTAGGACTATTTTTCAAGTAGTCTTACTCCAAGAATGTGTGTGTGTGTGTGTGTGTGTGTGTGTATTTCCCCCCCCCCATCAGTTCCACATAACCGAATAAGGGTTAAACCCACATCAGTGAATCCAAACTTTTGGAGCTGTCACTATCACCCATGAAGCTCTGCAAATATTTTAGAGAATGTAAACTTTAAAAGTGGTAAGTCAGCTTTCTCTTGAGACATTCATCTTAATACACACTGACTACAGCTTTCATAGGATTACCTAAGTTTAAAAAATGAGTTGTAAAAATAAGAGTAGATGCCTTGTTATCTAGTACAATGAAGACTGATAGTTGTCTGGTTAATCAAAAAATTAGGAGAGAATTTTTAAAATGATTTGTCTATACAATAATCATTTATTCTAACTTAGAAAATAAGTATGTATTCATTCACAAATCTTTGACCCTAAAGCCAATCTTTTTTTTTTTTAGTATGAATTCGCTGATTGGAGCCTCCTATGTCTTGCAAAAACTACACCTATACACCTTGTCTATGATTTCTAATTCAAGCTTCTCTAAAATGAAGAAATTTAAAACTTGTATGAAGCAATCTGAAGTATAGAAGCATTTAAGATTTTTATAATTTCCCCTCAAGTTTTTGTATTGTTTCATCTAAACTGAATTCAGTAACAATTTTTTAAATGCCTCTCCCTTATTAAGCTTTCCAAAACATTCACTTTAGTTTTCACTGCAACAACAATTCTTTTATATTTCATGTATCATTGGTTTATATGATACATCATTAAGTCATGCTATCAAAATAAGAAATTCAAATGGCATCAAACAGGTTTGGGAATAAACC